AGGACTCTGCAGAGAATCCCCATCAACAAGAAGACCCTCAGCAGATGTAGCCCCTTACTCTTAGATCTCCAAAACCATGAGCTCAATAAACCTCTATTCTTTATAAATTACCCAGTGTGGTATTCAGTTGTTAGCAACAGAAAAACAGACTGAAACAGAAGCAATGTGGTATAAAAGAAAGTGTTCTGTGTTTGAGAATCAAGGCGGCTTTGAAAACCCAGCTCTATCAGGGGTGTCATCAGGAGCATCAGACACTTAGTCTGCTTCTGGCTCTTTGTTTCCTAAACTACAAAATGTGTGAGATCTGTACTCCACCCTCCCTACCCTCCTGCCCCCCACCACCCCCACACACAGTGTTTTTTGTACAGTTAATGACAATCTGCTTTAAATCCAGCCCTGTACCTGGCACATGTTCAACTGTTTATTGTCTTCAAATATAAAGCTATATTCAAAGAACTATGTGTCTATATATGTATTTTTGGAGGCAATGTGTTATCTTTTTTGTTATGTGATATGTATTGAAATAATTCTGATATGGCAATAGTTTTTAAATTCACCATGTCCTATATGGTAACATTCTCACTGTATTCCCAACTTAGACTCCTCGTTTTAGAATATTTATTTCTATTCTGAAGGCAGCTTTTTTTTGGGGGGGGGAGAGAGGTTTTCTCTATAGGGCGTGTGCGCTCGCCAGACAGACAGAGAGAGACATAGAGACAGAAAGCTAGAAATCACCCCCCAGGGGGGATGGCCACACTGCAATCCCTTCTCCTCCATTCTCCTCTCGGGATCTTGGGCACGCACGCACACGCGCCCAGCGTGAATTTTAAGCCACCGGGTCCGGGACGCGAACCACGGTCGACTATGTGGGAGTCCAGCGACATAGCCATTACACTAACTGCTGGTCCCTTGAAGGCAGCTTTAATAGTTCAACTTTCTAATGTGTTGCTGATGAAGTGCACCAAAAGAAAAATGTGTGATAGCTGAAGTTTTCTTTTTGAAGTTTTCTTCTCGCTAGCGGGAATTGAGATAGTGAAAATGCTTAATACTATATCAAGCAAACATGAAAATACTGAGTTTTGAGGTTAGGATTACAGTAATTTCCTCCTGAACAAGTCTTATGGTGAGAGAAGGGTGATGGGAGTGTGAAGGTAGTCCTTATCTAGAAACCACAGAACCTACTACTGAGCAGTTTCCAATCATTAGCCAAACGATTGCCTATGATCCCTTGGACCTTAATCTTTTTTCTAAATTGTTTACATCCTAGTAGAGCCCAAGGGGAGAATATTTAGTAAAAATAACATGGAACTTACGAAATGAAAATTAATGTCACAGTTAGGCTAAGTATTACCATGTGACTTTTGAGTGATTCACTCAACCGCTCCTAAATTGTTTTATCCAAACAAATGAGTTACTCTGCTCTGGCTACCTCCTGATGTAGGTGTGAGAATGAAATGAGAACTATGTAAAATGTAACCTGTTTTACCAGTACAGGAGCTTTCATTATAACCATGGCTTTGTATTATCACTGCTGTAATTTTCCAAGTTTTAACTCCTTAGAGGGAGTAAATGCTGATTTCCCTTTGTTGTTGTTATTGTTGCTTTGTTTTGTTTTGGTGTTTTAATTTTTTTCTTTTCTCACCACTTGAAATAAAATGTTGCTCGCCCATTCCTGAGGGGATAAGGAAATCACATGGTGTAAAGCTAGAATTTTGTGCCTTGAAGGCCAATTCACTGTGCTTGAGACTCATGCATGGCACTAAACTCTTTTGTTGTTAGGATTCTCTCTCGCTCACTAGCTCGCTTTTTTTTTTTTTTTTTAATTTGGGTCTTTCTTTAAAAGAAGGTCCACATCAAAGGCCCACAACAAAATAAACCTCTTATAATATTATTTGCATGTAGGTAGACAGCGTTGGGTTTTTAGGATAGTCCTCCTCTGCTCCTCCCATCAGTTTATGTTTCCATTACAACGGAAACCTGAAGTACAGGGAAAGCCCCTTGAAGGCCAATTCACTGTGCTTGAGACTCATGCATGGCACTAAACTCTTTTGTTGTTAGGATTCTCTCTCGTTCACTAGCTCGCTTTTTTTTTTTTTTAATTTGGGTCTTTCTTTAAAAGAAGGTCCACATCAAAGGCCCACAACAAAATAAACCTCTTATAATATTATTTGCATGTAGGTAGACAGCGTTGGGTTTTTAGGATAGTCCTCCTCTGCTCCTCCCATCAGTTTATGTTTCCATTACAACGGAAACCTGAAGTACAGGGAAAGCCTCATGAAAGACAAACAGGTCTGCGGCATCGACGTTGTTGGAAAAGTACCTTCACACAGAGGCTGGCTGATCTCTCAAGATGCGCATGGATCCCCCTTTTCCTCTAGGAGCACAGAACCAGTTGCCTCTTTTATTTTTTGTCAACAACACTTCCTTTTTGTTCCTCTCCCTCCAACTTGGAAGTGCATCACTGAAGCAGAGACAATATACCTCTTCATAAGGAAGGCAGATGAATATGTGCCAGATGGGCCGAGGGGATTACAACATGTTTCCTCTCCCAGGGTGACTCAATGGGGCTGGTATGAGAACGTATCTTATTCAAGAAGTTCGCTTCCCCTGGCAGAATTATGAGTCACAGTTCCTGGGTGGAAAGCTGACTTACCAATAGCAAATGAGATAGGGATGGGGGGAGGGGGTCCTTGGAAAGATTACAGTAAAGGTCATTCAAAAAAGCAACACTGTCAGTGTTTCTGGGGAGCACCGTGCTCACGATCTTGAGGGGCTTCCCTGATCTCTTGACAAGAGCACCACTGTCACCTCCTCCTCTTCCTTCAAGGTAAGATAGGATGTAAAATTACAAAGATGACTTACTGGTATGGATTCAAATGTTTTCCATGATAAAACTAGCCAATTTGGAGGGGAAAAAAGACATGCGAATGGACATATATTCACTCACTTAACATACACGTCTTAAGCACCTACAGCGTGTCCATGTGCCATTCATTATACCAAGTGTTTGGGTAACAAACAGAATGGGTAAGTCTCTCTCCTCAGGGTGGCTTAGAAGCAGAGAGGGGAGAGAAGAAGGACAGAAAAGAAAGAGAGGGAGTAGGAAGGAAAGAAGGAAGAAGTGGAGATGCAGGGAAGAGGGAAGGATAGGAAGAAGAAAAAGTGAGGAGGACAGGGGATGAATAAAAAAAGGAGGAAGAACAAGGAGGAGGAAAGAAGAGAAACAGAGTTAAAGTACTGCCAGGAAATGATGAATATTATAAAGAAATCTAAGCAGAATAAAGGGGTAGAGAGTGATTGACAGGGCTATTTTAGTTAAGCTAGTCGAGAAAGGTCTTTGTGAACAGGTAACATCTAAACACAGAATTAAAACAAATAAGAACAAGTTATAATCAGGAGTTATAGTCAATACGTTTAGAAATCAGGACATATAGGCATTCACCAGTGAAATTCCAGGTACTGGTCTTAGCAGCCACAGAGCTGTAGACTGGTGCATCCCAGCTGGGTACCAACCCCGGTTGTTCTGTGAAGCCCCAAAGGGCCAACAAAGTTAGATGTTAACTCCACTTTAGGCTTTGAGCTGTACACTGTCCTAGTTATACCCCTCCTTTAGTGCTATTTTTGGTTTCTAATACAATGCTTTAAGTGGCACAGAAAAATTGCAATGCACCCAGAAAAGATGATCAGGATGGTAGGAGGGCTCCAATCCATGCCCTGTGAAGAATAAAGGCATACACCATAGGATGCTAGGGTCATAGTTATATAATCATTGACTCTTTCTTTTTTTTTTTTTTTTTTTCCCAAGAAGGTACCTGCACTCAAGAGAGAGAGAAAGACAGAGAGAAAGTAACCCCTCCCCCTCATAGGGGACTGTCCTGCCACAATCACTTCTCCTCCATCTCTTCCTTCTTTGGGGATTTTGGGTGTGTACATACACATGCTCAGCTGTCTTTCAAGACAGTGGTCTAGATCTTGAACCAAGCAGTCTGCCACGTGAAATCCAGCCACCCTAACCACTTGGCAATGGGCTGGCCTATGATCATTTTAAGACTTCTGAAAGTTTTCCACATCAAAAAGGAATTAAAGTAATAATATTCAAATTATGGCTCACAATATATGGGGAAATTACACATGGGAAGCCTTTTAAGATGAAGATCCCTAGGTTTCCTGCACAAAAATGAGAAAAACACTACATTAGGCATTTTCTGTTTCCATCAAGCAGATGAACCAAAGAAATGTATGAAAATGACAAAGAGACAAATTTCAGGTTTATATACTAAAAACTTTCTAAGAATTTGACCACTCCAAAACCATAATAGGCTTCGATTAAACAATCACCAGTCAGAGATATCAGAGGATAGTTCTGAGCAGTAATTCTATGGGTGAGAGGTGACCTAAAGTGATGGCAATTCTATGGGTGAGAGGTGACATGAAGTGATGGCCTTTCAAAGATCATGTCCTTCCAGCTCCAATTTCATGTGATCCTGTCCGTGACAACTGAGTTTGGTTAGTCAAACTCACCAAAGTTCTTGCCCGTCTCTGCCCACGAAGCAACATCCCCACAAAGAACACAACCAAAGACAATGCCTTACTTTCCTGTACAGAAATACTATAACAGAAACCTGTCATGATTTTTTTTTTTAAAGTCTCCATGGGCTATTACCACTGTGGCCTTCTCTACTACTGGCACAAGATATGTCTTTCAAATGAGTAGAAAATAAACAGTATTGGAGTTGGCTTGAGTGTAAAGGTCTTGAAAAGTGTCTGTAGTTATATACCCTAAACCACTACCCCAAGGCCATTACGTCCATCTGAGAAGGGAGAGATCCGCAGTTCTCCTGGCACTCAAATTTCACAGTTCTGCCCCGTCTGTGACTGTGCCACCGCAGAAGACAATGAGAAGAGACAACATTATGCTCTTTCAAATTCAGGCTCAAAGAGTGCACGTTCGGTTACGCATGGCTTACATCTTAACAGATTGTCAAAAGCTATTCACTTACCCGAGGCATCACTTCGTACGATCCCATAGAAGTAAAGACTCATTAAACACCACAGAAGTTCCATCCTGTAAATATAAACACAGCGTGAGGGAGAGTACTTATTACTCTTGAGTGCTTAAGTAATACCTAGTGTGTAGGCATAAGGACTACAGATGGCAGCTTTTCTAATAGTTTTACAATACTAACAAATGTAACTGTCATAACCAATCAATAAGATACATTTTGTTTTCTGTTGCTTATTTTGTTGTTGTTGTCATTTGCTTTTGAATCCCCATATTACAAACAGATAAGGAACCTCGGACAAGTTTATATAACAAAACCAAAATACATTGGCTACAAAGTGGTAGAGCCATGACCAAATGTCAGCTGTCTGGCTCCAAAACTGTCTCTTACCAAATTATAGCTGCCTCCCTAGAAAATATTCTAAAAAATATTCATCTGGGTTCTTTAACCAGAAGTCACATTTCTGACAGATAAATATGACCCCCTCTTATTCTTCTCATTCTCTTGTTCTATTCCCAGTATGGACTATTTCATGATTCGGGTATTTTTCCTTCTCGGTAATGAATAGGAAGTTTAGAAAGCCTCCATTCAGATTTGGTCTGTAATCTACTGCTCTCTGGATTTATATTAAAGCGAAATATGTAAATCTCATGTCCTGATATTTCTGCTTTCTTCTCCCCAGAAGGGACAAATGACGTGGCAGGAGTCCAATTTCTGTGATCTTTAGCCTTGTTATTGATAGCCAGCTGAAACTGCCAATTAGCAAGAACCATGCCCTGACATTTGGCTGTGCAACCTTTAATGCAGAAGAGCTGGAGATTTAACAACTCTGGAAGTATTTCTTTTCCTAGCACCCTGGACATATGTGGCCATGGGTAAGACCTATGTCAGGTTTTGAACACTGACACTTCGATATGACCCCATAACTCCATGCTCAAGAGCTATGCTTTCTGCTAGGAACACAGCAACCATAGAAGGTGTTTCCAGAGGTCTTGGGGATTTGTCCAGATCGTATTTCTAGTATGTGTCAGAAGTGGGATTTATAACCACATCAGGCCAACTATAGAGTCTACTATCCCAAAGAGCCAATGTGACAAGTTTACAAGTAAGAGACCCATCAGACTAAAAAAGCGAAAGAGGTGTTCCATAAATAGGGGGACCATATAACATCATTTAAAATGAGCCACATTTAAAAAATAAAAATTGCTAGAGGGCTGGTGCTCTGCTGGAAACAGAGATGGAGAGAGGGCAAAAGAGAGAAGGCATGCCCAGGGAGATGGCCACACCACTATTTCCACTCCTCCATTTCTCCTCTCAGGATTTTGGGCACCATGCACACATGCCTAGCATGTTTTTCAAATCGCTGGGTCCAGGACTTGAACTGCACAGTGGGCCTTGTGGGATCCAGTCCACTAATCACTGTGCCACTGGTTGGCCCAATGCATTTGTAACAGGGCTACATAGAAACCAAAGGTATAAACTGGATCTGTCCAAGTAATGGAGGCTGTGTGGTCACTCCAGGTATGATCCAAATTTCCAACTCTTGCCACCTCTCTTGACTAAACAGCTCTAAAAATCTCTGGTTCACATAATGCCTCCTTCTTTAGCCTGGTTGTACAGAAATCACAGGTGAACTTATTATATCACAAACAACCACTTCGTCTCAGAGATTAAACATCTCTTTCTCGCCACATTATACCCTTCCAATTCAGCTGCGTTACCTCGGGGAATCTTACATCCGTCAGTCATTCATTTATTCAATAAAACATTTTACTGAGCATTTTGTTTATAAGTTGCTATGATAAAACCGCAGGAACATCTAGTGAACAAGACGTGGGACTTTCTCTAAAGACATTTCTCCACAGTAGAAAGAGACCTCATGCAAACCACTTTTGATATCACATATGCAGAGGCCCTTAGGAGATAAAGATTTATCAGACAGAAGTTCTAACACCAGGCAGAGTCAGGCAGGAACTTAAAATGTGTATCCAAAAAAATAACTGCAATACCAAGTAAAACGTGATAAAAATAGAGACAGGTAAGTGTTTCCAACGATTAGCAAAGAAAAGAGATTACTCCAGCCACAGCAGTCAAAGACTAGACAAACACAAGAGGTAGCTTTTTTTTTTTTATTATTTTCATTTCATTTTCTTCCATATATTCAATCACGTTATTATTTGTCTTACAAAATGGATATTTCAACAGGTGAACATTTCTCCCTAGTGCTGTTGATAAAACTACGAAATATCTTCAACAGATAATACCACAGCTCTTTGTGCCATAAGAGGTAGCTTTTGAAGTGGTTTGTATATCTGGAACTGAGGCAGAAGGAAGTGTGAGAAAAATGAAGCTCTGAGTGGATAACAGTGCTCAAAGGTAGTCAAAGCATGGAACATAAATGGAAAGAGTCTATCCATGACTCAGTTTGGCTCAAGCACAGGGTATTAGAAAAAGAATTATCAAGGATCCTGTTGACATGCAGAAAGCATTATGATCAAAATATGGCCAGGCCTTGAAAAGCAGGCTAAGGACTCAGAATTCAACTTAAACAGCACATAGAAAACCACGGAAGTTTTCCGATCAGAGGAGTGATACGATCGATCATCAAGTTGTACCTTACAGAGGTCACTCTGCCAGGCATGCGACGGATGGATTGCCACTAAATTCTGTCTTGAAATCATTTTGGCTCCTGAGTCTGTCATCACAATAATTGCTATCCTCCTAGCTTTGTGTCATCTACAGACTCGATCAGTATGCTACCCATGTCTTCATCCAAGTCATTAATAAAAGTAATTAATAATTCTGCATTAATCCTTGTCAGCAGAAAGCAACTAGATATTTCATTGCAGATTTAGGGTACAGCAATTTCAGGCCCCAAACTCAGATAGGCTAAAGCATTCTGGCTTCCCAAATTGCTTTTGCTATTTTACTTCACACACACACACACACACACACACACACACACACACACATACAGGCATGCACTCACGAATGTCTTCAGATTTTCCCAATTTGCCTGTTTATAAGCTGCTGAATTCCTAAGGCAGCACTGAGAAGACATTCTAATTAGTGTGACTGAGGGCCTTAATTGATATTCCCAAGAGCAACTGGATTATGCCAGAGGCAACAGGTCAGGTCATCAAAGTACAGCTCATCTGAAGATAACCTGTGTGCAAATAACCTGTGTGACCAATTCAGGGTCAGCCGCACTTAGCGATAAATCAGAATAAAGCAGACCGGAAAGAAAGTGGGATTCTGCAGGCTGGTTTTGATAGACTAAAGACACCGAGGTTAGCAGGAGGCGGGTGGCTGGTCTGAAACCTCTGGAAGAATGTGGGTTCATTTAACATTGTCTTGCATTCGTCTTAGAATTTGATCATTGTAGACAGCAATATGCTTTTGGTTCTTGTTTCTTAGCGTGAAGCGGGGCTGGGTCAGAGATGAAGAAATTGTCAGAAAGAAGGAAAGGAAAAATAACCTACTTGTAAAGCACAGTTTCTCAGTGTCTGAATGACAGTTTACTTCTAGATCATCGTTATGGGGTCTGCAGACCTTGCCCATGCTTCAGATGACTGGAATCACACGATATATTCCCCCTGGGCTTTTCCCACATCGTTCGTTTTATTTACTGTGATAATGCTCGTACTTCCTCCTTTATGTATTAGGCTTCTTTCATATTTAATGTTATTATTTCCCAGGATATCAGCTTGGATGTCTATAGCATCTAGCAAGAAGTTTCCAATATGTACTCAGTTCTACATAATCAATACTAGTGTTAATGCTGACTGCTAACATGTGCTTAGCATCTTCGTCCAGTCCTGTGTATGAAATTTTCTATTATCTGCATCCCCTAGGCTTGATCAGCTTTGGGTTCCCCTTACTTCTGAGACACTCCAAACCCCAAATTTTCTCACCAGGTCCGCAAGAGACAGGCTGAAACAAGGTTTGCTGCCCCAAGGCTGGTATTTGCTCTGGATGGCCATCTGCTCGCCTTCCTTTGGCATGGGAGTTTTGCACCAGGCCATGTGACTGGATCTCCCTCAGTTTCCTGACTCCACATAGAACACCGTTCTCAGATACTATCCACTCCAAGAAGCCCTCTGGCCTCACTGGGGGTAGAGCCTCCAGCCTGGTGCTTGTCAATTCTTTTCCAGGAGTCTATGTTCTGTCTCCTGTAGAGCCTTGCTCTAAGCTGGATAAACCTCTTGTAACCCTGAAGCTATGCCACCTGCTTCATTCCTGTGATGGTTGGTAGATGCTCTTTGCTCTGACCTCCTAACTAAAAGCTTGGCCATTAACACCACGGCACAAATCCCAGAAGGCTGTCCCCATGTAGGACCAACCCTATAGTCCAACCACTTCACTGAGGGCTGATCCTGTCCTGATCCCATCCACCTCCTCCCTTTTCCCTTCTCTATGCTGTCGGTAATGTTGGGGTAGGTCTTGCATCTGTGCCTACCTAAAATAGGACAAACGAGTCTCCTCTGAAGGACTCCGGACAAGCTATTCCTTATCTTGTTTTACAGTGAAACAGATAGCATTCATTAAGAAATTGTTTTTTTTTTTTTTAAATCTTTGATATTTTATCTAGTTTATAGTTTTTTTTAAACTATAAAACAATTCTTTGTACATAATATTTAAGAAATTGCTTTTTTTAAAAATCTTAGATATTTTATCTAGTTTATAGTTTTTTTAAACTATAAAACAATTCTTTGTACATAATATTTTGAAATCCACTAAATATTTGTCAGCAAACGAAATTTCTGGCAGTGACAGAAAAGGCTCTGATTCCGGGTAAAATGAAGCGAGCACACTCCACCTGTCTTTACCAATGAACACAGCTATGAAACACGCCTTAATGTACAGAGCAACTATTTGAAAACTTTAAAATTACGTAATAGCACATTCTAACCAAGTACACAGAGAGCAGGCACCAAGACAGGGCATATCATGTGCCATAAGTTGAATCTTACTAAATGTGAAGAAATTGAAAGTGTACTCTCTAATCATAAAAATAAACTAAAATCTGAGCCCATCCTGTGGCCTAGTAGTCAAGGGAGGT